TCTCTCTCTCTCTCACTTGTCTCGCTTTTTTTTGGTTGAATTTTCTTCAATTTTTCTCCTCCTGCGCAGATGATTTCGTGCTTTTCCAAAGATAGAAGAATGACGTTCGCAACTAGTCATACCCATGTGATGCCGTTCATTTCAGAACTGCTCAGCAGTATTTAGTTGTGTATTGATTAATAAAGTTGGAGAATCCGATGGATGATTAAAACTGCAGGAGCGCGTAAAGATGTGACGGCGTTTGTGGTGGACTTACCGCCCCGGTACTCGGAAGTCGTACCGCCGTCATACGAATGGGTCCTGAAGCATCACTACTCGGACAGTAAGCTGCGGCCTCTATCAAATTTATCAACAATTATCGTCGTTATCAGCAACTGTTTGTTGTCTTTGATACATTATTGTTAGTTGCTGCTATCATCGTTGTTAGCGTTTGTTATGCATTTTTGCTGTGTATCGCCATAGCGCTGCTATAGTGAGCAAAAACACATATTTCCGAGGGGTCGCCTGTGTGTGCATTCGGAGGCGAATGAATTTTGTCACCCACTTTCAACTCAACAACCAGAGGCTGAAATTTTGAGGACATGTTCCCACCCCGTATGTCATCCTCCCTTTTTAGGATCTTTCCTCATACGCGTCTAGGTCTCGCGCACGGGCCCCCGAAAAAATATGCATATTTCTTTGGCGGGAAACGATTTTGGGAACCAGTCAAGGTAGAAGGCTGAAACTTTGCAGGGACATTCTATATGTTTGTGTGAGCTAAAGTTTTCAAATTTAGCGATTGGGCACTTTTGTACAGCAAGTATGGTCATGTCGAAATTTGTACCTGGCACTGCGCTAATTCGAAAACTAGCCGGAAAACAGTGGCTAAAATTTTTATTGTCCATGTGGTGAATCGTATACTTAAAGTGAGTTCCAGACTGCACTTGTGCCACGACTTAGGACACTTCAAAGATATTTGTGGCAAAATGGCTAATTTCGCTTGCCGGATAATGTGCGAGGCTGAAAATTCGCTGTGATATTCTGCTTTAAAATGCTGTCTTTATTCTGCTTGGAAGTGAAATCCCCCGCAGATGGTTGTGAGAAATACTCAACTTCACCACAAATTTAGAAACAAGTGCATTTTGCAGCGAATGACCGCCCTCATCCTCTCCCAACACCCAGTTCATTTACATTGATTTTTTGACGAACGATCGCTCTAGCAACATTTCCACTTTTCAGTGATGAACTGGATGTTGGAAAGGGATGAGACGAGTTGTTCGCTGCAAAATGTACTCAATTCTGAGTGAAACCTGCGTAAAAAGCTGAGCAAGAACGCATTCTCGCAAGGGCTAGCCTAGTACGTTCCAGCCTGAGTTGTTATTGTACATATGTCTGTACATACATTTCTTTTATCAGTTTTATGTAGCTGGCTAAATTGTTGTACATGCTTATCACGTATGAATTTTTAGTAAAGCTCAAAGTGCTGCTTACAAAAAAGTGGATCAACAGTATATTCCCGATTTCCATACTGAAGCCATTCATATATGTATTAAATAAAGAATTTCCCAAATATCAATAAGGCATCCTAAAAAGTAATGCTTCTAATAGTTGGTCGTTGTGCTTGGGCGGCAACTCTTTGGTAAAGGAAAAAAGGCAGGCAAAATGAGTAAAGACGTGTCACATGCAGGAATTATGACTCCGGGATTGAATTTAGCTGTTACTACACGAAATTTGACTGATACGAATCAGGCGCATACAGATTATGCCAGGGAACATGTGGTTCTCGTGTACGGGCACTTAACTTTTTGGTGGGAAAATATCGAAGTGTATAAATATGAGATTGTGCTCCTCAAAATGCGCTATCCATCACTCCATATTAAGGCAAGAAGGTGACGCACATATGTTGAGAAGGCGTTGCGTAACTGGAATTGTGCAACTCAAGATCGGAAGACACAATGTAGCTGAACCCGCTGTGTGTGAACATTTTAATGATATAACTAACGTGGAATACCCACAATAAATGCCAGGACAGTCTTCGTATTCTTGCTGTATGTAAGCCTCTCATCTGCAGGAAAAAGCCAAGTGATAAGAATCAAATATATCAAACTGCACAGTACCATAGCTTTCGGGAGTTTTTTACTCCCGTATGTTGCTGTTCTAGCACACTACGACATTACACTCCCTATTGGTATTTGTCCTTCAAAGTTGATGAGTCGTCGGTCTCTTCTCCAATTTCCAGTTTCGTTTGATGCTGTCATTGCTCATACTCCTTCGTTCGCCATCAGTAATTATTGAATTCCCCATCCCTAACTCTCAGAGTTGCGCGCTCTGTCGTTGAATTTAGGCCTTTATTAAAAATGCTTTTATCACGGCATTATCCGCGACCGGTCTATCTTGCAACAACGATTCTGGTGTTTGGCGTTTTTCTAACAATGATAAATCTGTTTAAACTGCGATCCATCCTAAACGATATAAAAAGGTGAACTGTTTCGGTGGTAAATTGCCCTAAGAAAGTGTTTGCTCAGTCATGAAAAGTTCTGGAATAGCTCCGTTCATAACACTAAAAATCTATGATTTTTCACCAATTTCTGTCTATTCCTGTTACTTAATGAATTTACTGGTTACCGAAACATTCCTGTTCACCTAACTTTTTAATGCAATGTTATGCATATTTTTATATACATCATAATTAATAGCTTTGTTATGCTTATGCGTGATAAGAAACCGAAGACGGTTGCTTGCCGTCTCCATTTTTTTTACACACAGGTTATGATATATATATATGTACGTAATTTTTATCGTGTTTATTTGCACATATTTAAATTCATAAATTTTTTTTTTTTACAAAAGTCAATACAACGCGAATAATTTAGAAAAACCAAACATCTCATTTGGCTTGCGGCAAGTCCCTGCTCCTTCCACTTCTCTTTTTTTATTCTTCAGATTTATCACCTTTCATCTTTTTTAAAGTTGTAACACATTTTCCTATACAAATTTATTTCGCTTTATTCATTTCTTCAGTCAGCACTGCAGCTACCTTTCTGAGCAGGCCCTGCTGTGGTGCTGAATTAGAAAGCCTACGGCGGAACCATATTTCGCTTTATTCCTGTTTATCCAGTTTTCTAAAATAATTTTATATGCTAATTAATATCCCTATTGTTAGCTGTATTTAACGACTAAGTTCAATGGAAATGATTTGAATGAAGCATTATAGATAGTTTTTA